GACATAGCTGTTTCATCCAGGAGTGGCCTCGCCGCCAGTGTTACAGCTTAATTGTTGTCCTCCCATGCTGTGGGGGACTGGAGCGGAATTGCCCAGAAATGAAGGCCAGTTTCCTTTTGAAAAGGGCCAGCAGGAAGGAGTCGAGCCAAGGACACAAGTTAGGAAAGCAACCTGATGTCTACATTAGCGGGAATTCTTCTCTCTTGTGGCCTTAGTTCTTTCTCTAGACACAAAGGGCTCTGTGTTGTCACCATCTGTGCTGCCTAGCAAGAACAGTTAGCAAACTTAAGGTTTAGCCTGCCAGGTTTTTTCCATCAGACGCCTGAAAGCAGTGGCCTAGCCTTCAATTCCTGGTAAGAAATACTAGGGTTCCGGAAATGCCAAAGCAGTGGTGAGATTCAAGTGCGATTTTGTTTACCGGTGGCAGTAAAGGCAACTTGAATGAAAATCAACAACTGATTTGGAGAAAAGAAATGTAAGCGAACGCAGTGAATTTAATTATTGCCTCCCAAGTGCTTTATTTACAAAAATAAACTCAGTTTTAAATCTTTTTGCTTTCTGATACGATGGTTAAAAGTCTCTTAAAATGTTATCACTGATACGGGGAAAATGCCATCACCTTAATACTTCTGGCCAAAATGCTGCTCTTGTTCCCAAATCATGTATCTCCACGTGGTAGCTCTTGAAAAGGCGATCTCCAAGATATCCCTTTTCTTCTTAATCATAAAGAGATTAATAGCCGTCAAGACAAAGTTTCTTTAATGTCAAAGGTAAATGTAGACACTTGAATAAAGAAATACGGCATTAGAATTGATGAGAGCAGAGGTGGAGTAAGATTTTCTGAGTTTAAATTGATTGAAAGTTTTTGTTTGACATTGGTGAAGAACAAAAAGGAAGCTAATTTACTAGCCACTTACCCATTGAGGCTGATGTGGACTGTTTTATAGTAAAATCAAGAGAAATCTCCTGTGAAATAAAATTCCCTGAAAGTTTGAGAAATTGGTCACTTTTTCCTCTTCTAGAAGGAACTATTTTGGGATAATTACATCTTACCACTTGGCGCTAGGATAGAGGAATGCGTTTATATATTTTTACTATTTCCTCTGCAGTCTGGTTGTCCCTGAATATTTTAAGAACCTCTGTTTTCTTCCATTAAAACTACCTCCCGTAACAAATAGTCAAGAATTATTCTGAGTTTCTTTTTCAGGAGACATTACCTTTGCTTTATATGTCTCACCATGAGCCGTTTTCATCTTCCACACCTCTGTCCCTTTGCTTTTGCTGTGAACCCTTTTTTGCATTTTTAATTCAGTTTGACCATTAATTAAAATTAAAATTGAACCTCAGCCTTCAAGGTCTCTCATAAAGCCTTTTTTGACTGCTTTTGCCAGAATTAATCTTGCTTCCTAATCCTGAATGGCTTTTATTATGTATTTTAGCATTTTATTGTGAGTGGTCTTGTATCCTTCTAAGATTGTTAGGTGTTGGTCTGTTTTCTCTCGTAGAGAAATAGACCCTCCCTCTTTTTGTTCCTACCTAGCTGTGTTGCAATTTTTGTATGTATCTGCCTCTCTCTCACCCATAAGGTAAAGATCCCTTTTTTGTGTCCTTAGGCCCATCCAGGTTCCCGACAGATAATAAATGCTCAGTAAATCTTTATGGTGGAACTGAATTTCAGGGCAAAGGATGTGTTTTATATCTTTGTATGTGTCATCTTGGGTACCCAGCATATTGCCAGGTATAGAACACATGCTTAATTAATACTGTGTTAATTGATCGACTAATTGACAAGATACTGTTTAATCTAAGAAATACAGGTACATTTTTGCCACTTTAATAATTACCAGCTGAAATATCAAGGAGATGTTAAGAGAGTGCATATCCTGGGGGTGGTGATCATTGACTTTGGTCATTTTCTATTGAATTCTTGCTGTGATAAATGAAAATGTCAATCAGGTAACCTCTGCCTTCTCCCACCTTTCAAGTTTGAAAGTTTTAATAGTATTTTAAATTCTCTGAGGTGGGAGATGGGGATAGCTCAGTGGTAGAGTGTGCGCTTAGCATGCATGAGGTCCTGGGTTCAATCCCCAGTCCCCCTATCAAAACAAACAAATAAACAAACCTAAAAAAGTAAGTAAATAAATTCTCCGAGGGACTATTTTTGTAACTTTCCTAATATACTTAAAATTTGATAGGATTACATGATTTCTGTAATTTAAGTGTAGGTTTTTCTTTCCATCTTTTTTCTCAGCTTCTTGTTAAGTTTGCCTTTATTCTTACACTGACGGGGTTGAATGTTTCCATTTTATTCTGTAATCATATTTAAGTCTTTGATAGTTTAAAGATTTAACAGAATTAGTCTAAAAGTTAAAAACCAATGAGAGCATTTACATTATTATGCAAACAGTACATAGTGTTTACAGCGGGGACTAATGGTGTGCTGCGATTACTTGTTCTTCTTTTGGCCCAGTGTTGTGTGTATTTTTCCATTTTCCACTTACAGAAAAATGTTCCTCACAGCTGTGTCAAATAGATTTTCTTCTTCTTTGGTGCTCCATGATTTACTCCAAACATGCCACACTTTAATTTGCTTGAGATCTTTAGGCTGGGGCCCCTTCAAAGGCTAGAATGTGGGGGAATGTGCTCTGGGGTGCCAGCATCCATACTAGCAGGTCACCTTCTCCCGAGAGCTCATTCAGTTTTGTTTTGCCACTAGCCTCTCAACTGATCTTTCTGTTTGTGGTCCTTTTTTTCATTTCTGAGGTTCTGCACGAAGGTGGTCACCTTTCCACTGTAGCCCTCTTTTCATTATTCTTCATTCCCCATCTTATCCGTCCACATACTACTATGTATTTTCAGTCTTCAAGAAACTTGTTAAAATTTCTCCTATGCCAATGGCTCCCTTTAACTGGGTTTATTCTCTTTTTATCCTTTTACTTGCATTTTAAGGTGCTCTTGGGATGGATGGGACATTGTGTGTGTGCTTAGACTGTCTTCTTGACCTGAGAGTAAGTAGTTTGCCTATCCCCAGTGAAGTCCTACTCTGAGTATGTGTACAGAGTCCTCTGAACTGAAAACCCGAAACATCTTCGTGATCTGTTAACCATGACTTGGGCCCATGAGACATCCTGTCCTCCTGGGGATAATTTAGGATAGATTATGTCTGAGCTCTGGTGTGGTCTGGATGGACTCCTCATATAAGCATTGGGAGAAGTTGGCAGGTCCACTTCCCTAAGTGGCCTGGGAACAAATTAAACGGTAATACAAAAAGTTCGCAGAGAGTGAGCCCAGGGGAGGATCTACTTGCAGTTGGTACTCTGTGCCCAGGGTCTGCAATAGCATGTGCTCCCAGAGGTTGAGTTCTGTCTCAGAAATGTGCTGAAGGGCAGGATTTACTTCACTGCGGCCCAAATATTCTTGCCAGGGTTTTATTTTTTTATGGTGACTTTTTCCTAATTTTGGAAAAACAACAACAACAACAACAAACAATAACAAAACCAGAATGTGTTTCTTATTGGCTTACATACTTTTGACTCTATAATTAAGGAAATACACAGCCAACTCCAAAATACCAAGTTTGATGGTTAGCTTGACTTCTTTAAATTTCAATTTTTTAAATTTATATCTCTTAATCTTTTCCTTGTGATTATAACTATTTTTAGATTTTCTAAAATCAGACAAATATTAATCAACGTTTTCCACTTATTAAAAAAAGTTTCACTTTTTACATTTTAACTCTCAAATTTATATAGAGAGTTTATATTGGTATATGGAGTGAGGCAAGGATCTATCCTTAATATTTTTTTCAAGTATCTAATCAGTTGCAAGAGCACCTTTACTGAATAATACAGCCTTTCCCACTGGTGTGTGATGTTTGTGTTAAGTAGAATCTTATATATTTAAAGAGAATCCTTCTATTTCTTTTGCAGGCATCAGTTTTGAAGGTTAGGGAATCCAAAGCTTCTGAAAGAACAATTGTAGTTACTGGTCTTCCAGTTGGTTTTGTTAATGATCAGTTACTGACCACATTACTGAAGATTCACTTCCAAGATATTGAGAATAAGGGTGGAGTTGTTGAAGATGTGATGTATCCAACAAGAACCAAGGGTGTTGCATATGTAACATTCAAAGAAAAAGCAGGTATTTCCAAGTCAAATTTTTCTAATCTTAGAAATACTTTTGTAGTTAAATTGAAAATTGAATTTCATTAAGATAATTCGTGGGATTGGTAGATTTAAAGTAGATTTATTAAAGAATAATTATCCTATTGTTGAATATAAAAGTGGCACAGTATTGCATTAGCAAGAATATATGTGAAAATGGCTTATGATAGAGTTGTCAGTAACTGGCAAATTCTTAAAGACTTTTTTTCTTTCTATTTTTAAATGCATCTATATCTGGGGATAAAAGTAATAAATTTTATTCTAGAAAACTTGTAAAATATAGGAAAACTCCCTATAAAAGTTATCTATAGTCTCACAGGATAAATACTCTGGGAATTTTGAGGTGGCTTCAGCAGTATTGTGCAATTTGCTTCTTTTTGTTCAAACCAACCAATGGGTATTCTCACATAGTGTCTGCTTTATTACTGGGAAAGATGGACTGGAGAAATATGGCTTGGATCTGAGATCACATTGAGCCGTTCTGTTCCCCACCCCACTGACACAGGTGAGGAAGGTCTGCAGAGTTTATTCACCCCTCCAGCCTCATGGAGTGGGCAGCCTTCTTTACAGCTCAGTGGCTGGTAGGATACGTTGCCAGAGAAAGACGAGCCTCCATGCCAGCCTCTTGGGGGTCAAAGTACCACATATGAGTAGGAGCAGCAGAGACCTCACTCTGAGTGAGGGCAGACAGAGTCCAGAGAGACCAAGAGACTGTGGATTGTCAGTCCCTTTCTCTCTCACCATTAGTTACTTCATTCCTTCTCAGTAGTGATGTTCAGGTAAGGGATGGTGGGAAGGGCCCCTTATTATTTCTCTAAGGAGGAACATAGTGTTGTTGGAAGTTAATAATTTTATAAGTTGAATTGATAGCTCAGAGAGAGAAAGAGAGGGCTGAATTTTTCATTTATTCACAAATTTTTATCGAGGGCGTACTATTTGTCTGGTACCATTGTAGTCCTCGAGGATACAGCAATGAATGAAGTAGGCGAAGTATTTTCTTTCATGAAGCATTTTGTAGGGGTGGACAAATAAACAAGATAATAAATGAATACATAATTATGTTGGGGGCTTTATTTATTTGTACGTTTATATATTGCTTTTATATTTATATATATATTAATACATAATATAGTGCTGTGAAAAAATATAAAGTAGAATAGGAAGATGGAATGTGGTGGACAGTGCTCCTTTAGATGGACTGGGCAGGGAAGTACTCTGTTTAGGAGACATCTGAACAGAGACTTGAATGAGGTAAGGAATGACTCATGCAGAGAAGGGGGAAGAAAACTCTAGGCCAAGGGAAGGACTGGGAAAAGTTCCCTGAGGTAGCATGCTGAGTGTTTTGAAGAACAGCAAGGAGGCGGATGTGACTGGAGTGGAAAGAGCAAGGGGGAGAGACTGGGAGATGTGGTTAGTCGGGTAGCTGGGACCAGTTTATGTTAAGTGGTGTATAGGTCAAGACTAGGTGTCTGGATTTTACTCTGAGTGAGATGGGAAGCCATTAGGGGGTTTTGGGCAGAGGGCTGACCAAATGTGACTGCTTTTCTTAGATGATCCATCTGGCAGCCGGGTGGAGAATAAGAGCTACTAGTCATTGCTGGTTTTGACTAGAGTGGTAGCAGGGCAGGTGATTGAAAACTGATGGATGTCCCGAATTTATTGATGGAATAGGTGTTATTTTCCGAGATGCAGAACACTGGAGGAAGAGTACTTTTGGAAGGAACTAGTTATCAGGAGTTGAATTCTGGTCATTGAGATGTCTATTTGGACAATACAGTAGAGATTTCCATGGACAGAAGGGAGAAAGGTTGAGGCTGAAGATAAGATAAAACTTTGGAGGAGACACATAGAGAAATGGTATATAAAGCTGTGGAAATTGTTGAGAACACCCAGCGGGTGGGTTTTGCAAAGTTTTGCAAAGTTTAGCAAAGAGGTATGAAGCCTGAAGCAGGGGGCCTGCCAACATTTAGAGAATGAGAAGAGAAGGAGATTAGCAAAGGAGTCTGAGCACGTCAGCCAGTGAACTAGAGGAAAACCAGGACAGTGTGGTATCCTGGGTTCTGGAAGGTGAAGTATCCTCATGACCATAATGAACAGAGTGGGAGATTTACTTTTAGGTGTTCTTTATGTATATATGTATATATGTGTGTGTGTGTATATATATATATATATATATATATATATATATAAAATTTAATGTGTTAAAGTAGAAGGAAAAACTATTTAAATGTTGAATTTAGAGGAAAAACAGAAAAAAATCTTAGGTATTCTAAAAGACTTGATCATCCCTATTATTATTATTAATGAAAATAAATATTAGAGTATTATGCCACAGAGATTTCTGATGCCCCTGTTTCAAATTAGTTGCAGAGAACGTGGTCAGAAAAAAACACTGTCTAGCAGAGAAGGTTGGACCTGCTCAACTCACAGTCTCTCATTTTGGTGAAAAGGTAGGTGTGATGCTGAAGGCATGCTGATCATCTAGATCTTGTTTCTTCTGCAAAGTGTCCCCTGTACCTAGGAGACACAAAGCACTCACCCCAGGACTTCTAGGAAAGAAAATGCAAACTCCTTAACCTGAGTCAGTGTTAAAGGCTGAACCTGTGTCTTGAAATGTTTTAGTTATTGCCTAGTCAGTTTCTGTTTCTATATGAGCCTCTTGATGCTTTTAAGGTGACAGTGAGCTTTTATGTTATCATGGATGATGTCAGGTGTCTACCTAAAGACATACTCTGTAGGGGAAACAACCCGATTAGGATGAACATTTAAAAGGAGCTTTGAAGAAACAGGAAAGGTGGAAATGAGAGCAAAAAGTAAAATCCAAAGCATTGGTTTAAACCTTTAGTCTGTAAGAAAGCTAGGGTTCTGTGCAGCCATCTGATGAACTTCAGACTTGGAGGGCTCTCTGCAGAGACCCCTATCCCCAGAGCAGAACCAGAACAGTGTGTATTTATCGGTTCTGCCTAAGAATTTGCTTCAGTAAAGCATTCTGCTTCTAAAAAATATGTGATCACTTCTGTTTTAGGGAATACAGAGAGGGACTGTGACTCCCAAGCTGAACATTGTGGTCTTGATGGGGTTGTGGGGTCCCTTTGACAGGCGGCCATGGCGCAAGAAGCCAGTCTGTGCTAGGCAGTTGGGGCCTGGTTTAGGGTGGCTGCTGAGGAGACAGAAAATGGTGGGAAAAGAATGTGTTTATAAAGTCTGCTCCACTAGGTGGTGCTGTTTTAATTTCTCTATTTAATTTTAGGTCTTCAGCTCTGTACATGCTGTCCTTGATCTTTCTGTTTTTCGGAGTCAAGTCCGTCTAGAAAACCTGGTAATGGACCTTAAAAGGGAAATCTCAACCTTAGGCTTCAGTCCTTTGGGACCCAATGGAAGAATCTCTGTTCAAGGATCATTTCTGGCTATCAAGAAGCTCAAAGAACTTTTGCTATTAAAAGTAAGTTCTCTTTTAGAAAAAACAGGAATGCACAGAGCCCAAGAGGGAGTATGCAGAGAAGCAGTCACTCTTTAAAGTCACTCGGGTCATCAATACCTGAGACTCTGAGGAGTGGAGAAAGTCTTGTTCTCGACACAGATGTTTTCCTTTACCTGAAAAACAAGAGTGGATTTTATGAAAGCACATTGAAAAAATTTCATGTTCAATGTCAAGAGAGAGTGGATGGTGACATTACCACAGTTTGTATAAAGAATGTTCAAGATAGGTCTCAGCCAAACAAGGCAAAACAGGTAAAAGAACTCATTGAGAAGTATTCACATGCTCTTTCCTTTGAGCTTAGAAAGGAGACATTTATTTTGGAAGGAAAGGAACATAGAGAGAAAAGAAATATTAAGCTGGCATGTGAACAAGTAAGTTCGAGGTGCCTTCAGGTTCTGGTTAATTTTTATGAGACACACATTGATGTTATAGGATCTTCTTCTGACATATACTTGTTTAAAAAAGAGGTCATGAAGTTAACAAGGCAAAAAGTTAGGTAATAAAATGTCAACAATGGTAACAATAATGGCTACTGCTTTCCCTCACATGGTGATGCCATGTGTGATGCTGGCTTTACCTACATTTTCTTATTTAATTCTTTCATTGTAGGCATTGCTATCCTCATGTTAAAGGATTTAAGGAGGTTAAAACACTTGTTTGAAGTTATTCAGCTGGCAAAAAGTGGGGCTAGAGAAAAACCCATTCTATCTGACTACAAAGATAATATCTAAGGCATAAAACTTCGAAAAAAAGAAACTCACTAAATTTTGGGGAAACCTCACTTTTTCTGCAACCCCAAAAGTCTTAGAAAAAGGGGTAGCTTTAATTCCAACATGTGAGAAGGCAGATGATTATTATAATGTCATTTCCAATTTCTTAACATTTACGAAGTGCGTTCACTCCAAATAATTAGAATGCTGGCAAAACTCACTTGAGAAGCTACTTGGATGGTAAATGTTTCTGATGCAGGTAGTCCTTACTTGACTAAATCTCATTATACTGGGCGTTTGGGACATTTTTACTGCTGCTTACTTAGCCTAAGTGCTTACATAAAATGTTGGTTCTTCTGTTAGAGTTATGAAGGAAGTATAGTGTCTTTATAATTGTATTGTTAAAGTAATATCATTTCAAGAATAAGATCACAGACCATAAGAATAACAGCAAACACTTAGTTGCCGGGCATAATTTTAAGTGCGTTGCATGTCTTTACTCAGTCCTGACAGCAGCCCTGTGAGGCCGGTGCTGTCTTTGTCCCCTTCCACAGGTGAGGAAACTGAAGCCTAGTGATGTAGTGTACCTTGCCTGTGCTCTTGGTTACTGAACTGTGCTTCTCCCATTCATAGTCTCCCACGGTTCTACTTAAACACTTCAGAAGTGTTTGCTTAAAGATGACAGAAGGATTTGAAAATGCCTTCCTGAAGAAGGGGAGCCAGATCTTGTCATTTGATGATCTCTGACAGCCCTGCATTTGACTCTGGATTAAGCCAGTGTTAAGTAACCAGGGCATTGCAGAGAACCTCCTAGGATAATAAAATGTGTATCTCTTGCTCTTGTCTGAGTAAGCAAACATGGTTATGATGATTTGAACTATTTTTATCAGTAGAAAAGGATAAGAAAAGTCTCTCTCTGTGTTCATCTTTCTTAGGCATCTAAATCCCAGATATGTAAATGATTTCCATTTCTTTAAATATGTTATTTCATTTCTGTATGAGTAAACATTCTGTCATGCGAAACTTCTGTTTATATCAAGTGCCCAATAACGTATCTTTAAAATCTTTGATTTTCATTTGCTTCTAGTGGTTTGTCTCAGTCTGTGTCCAATCAGGAGAGAGAAGGCACACAGTCATTTGAACAGGGAAAGTTTAATATAAAGAATTGTTAACCATGACAGGAGATTGGAATAGTGTGATTGGCTAGTAAGAAATAGAAAGAACTCTGCCACATACAGGAATAACAGATATAAGGAGTAGTTAGATAGAGCACCCTGCACCCCAGGACTGAAATCCAGACTTTGCTGGAAGAGTTGTGCCAGGGGAGCCTGCCGGAAGTCCATCCTCTAGGGTGCCGGAGGAGTCCGTTCACGGGTGTCTCACCAGGGGCCTCCATTACAACCTGCCCAGGGGGGTTGCTGCGGGGAACTGCTGGTGGCTGGGAGCTGCTGGCCAGTGTGTACCACAGGCACTGAGTGCTGGGGGCGTCTCGTGTGTGGGGGCTGGACACTGGAGCAGCTGACCACGCTGCACCAGCCTGACGCGCTGAGGAAGTGGGTATTCCGCCTCGGAGCTGGATTCCAAGGAGCCTCCCGGCTGAACACACGGAAGCAGGAACAAGGCTCTTTCCTCCAGCAATGCCTCTCCAGCGCCCTCTACTGGGAAAGCTTAACATTCCTGTCAGCTACAAAGGAAAAATGTGTTAAAAGGACCCAGATTTGTTTTTAATGAGTAGGCAAATAGGATGAATTTAAAGCTGAGTCAATAAAATGGCAACTGGCGGAGTTCTATTTGATACCTGCCGAGGCTTTTCATTATTACCACAAATTTAATACCAATAAAATAATCTTTCAACAAAGAGCTGGATCCGAATAGTGGGGCTCATTCCTTGACTGGATAGACACTAAATGCTAATTGATTTACAGGTATGAATATAACATCTTCTGCTCGAGAAGACTGTGTATTTCAGGTGTTTTACACATTGCTGTCTCTCTTTATAATATGCAAGTTGTGTAGCCAGTTTCTATCCTTAATAAAAACTGACATTTTAAAATTTTCAAAGTGGGAGTAGTGATTTTTATTAAAATTTATTTTTGAAGGTTACTGATGCCCAGGAAGGTGATGTGAATTCTGTCCTGTTGCCAAGCCTAAGCCCTGTGGTATGTCTGCCACTAGGAGAAAAACCTATCATTTAATTAGTCAGTTGATACTTTTCAAAGAGACTGCAGGTGGTGAAGAGAGCCATTATAAAGTTAAAAAAGAATATGTAGTAGGAGTTTCACCTCATGATGAACAAAGGAAAAGGTTGGGAGAAAAGGCTCTGCAGCATTTGGGTAAGGCACTCATTCAGGGATTTTTGTTGAGCTCATCTGGATTTCAGAGACTGCAGTGGATGGAAGACAGGTGTTCACTGACTCCTTAGAAGTCAATGTCTAGTCTGGCAGAGGAGGCAGGCAAACCAGCCATTACAATAGCGCTTGCCATAAAAGTACTTGGGGGTAGAGTTGAGGGTCAATTCTTACCCAGGATACGTTAGTCATTTCCAAATCATTAGCATAGTTCTCATAGGAAAAAATAATAAGCATGCTTTAAAGTTTTACTTACCTGTTTATTGAGGTGTAAACTAGCAGAATGACAAAATGTTTCAAAGAGAACATAAGAAATCTATTTTTGGTTTTTTTTTTAGGGAGGTAGGGAGGTAATTAGGTTTTTATTTATTTTTGGTGGAA